CAGATCAATAATCGCAACTGTATAATTCAAAAAGGGCGGTAAATTTTTCTGTAACCAAATATTATTGCTACTGCAGTGGTAATTGCGAAAATTTTTAGATCTGTCTGGAAGCAGAATCAACGATTAATTACCATGAAGTGTTTCGTGAGACCCTGCTTTGCGTGACCCGTCAACCAGACGTCACGCACACTGTAGCAATTGCAGCTGCTTCAGCAGCACTTTCATGCAATGCAAGCGCCATTGTAGTGCTTACTACTACTGGACAGTAAGTAGTTAAAATACTTTCTCGCCGTTTAAATACATGTGCTAGGTTTAAAGTGAGTTTTGATAGGATTAAAATTAAATAAAGCAGCCAGAATTTTACTTTTCTAACGAATTCTTCTAAAATTGACATTTAACTTCTGCAAATGGATTCAGTGATCAGTTATAAGCTTTTGTATAGCGCATTAGAAATTATTTACTCAGAACGTTCTTTTACAAATCTATATAAAATATCATATCTTTAATCAATTCCCAAGTGAAAAGCGCTTCTAGCAAATTTCAGTTCGGCCAGTTTAGTAAGTCATTATCGTCCTAAAGTGCCAATTATTGCTGTTACTCGAGATGCACAAGCTGCACGTCAAATGCTCCTTTACCGCGGTGTTCATCCACTGCTTTATTCTGGTTTGTTCACATACTCACTTCTACAATTATCCAACTAAGAACATATTTTCTATCAAAGCAAACATTGTTTAGTCAATACGAAAGTGCTAAACGCTTAATTTTTTACAAAATTTCCATTTATGCAAATTTAAATTCGTATAAGTCTTAATTAAATTTTGGAACTCACTCTTTAGAACAAAAAAATGAAGACTGGAAAGCTGATATCGACTTGAGAGTAGCTTTTGGTATGAAAGAAGGTCAGGCACGTGGCTTCATCAAGTCAAGTGATCTTCTCATCATTATTACAGGATGGTCCAAAGGTAGAAATAAAACAATTTGAGAAATTCACTAATCCTTCTAAAGGCGCGTTAGTGAGACACTAGTAACACACGTAAAAGACCAGACACAAGCACAAATGAATGAG